GGGAAGCCTCTCGTCAAAGATGAAAGATCTCTAACAACGATGATGCGAAGATTCCATGATTGGTACTTGAAAACCTGCAGAGAGTCTGGGGGGAGGAATACTTTGACGCTGAGAGTTAGAGAGGAGCATGACCTCCTTGGAATTGAACTGTTGAATGTTCCATTTGAGGAGTTCTTCCAGTTTTTCAATCAAAAGGCCCTCAATAAAGCAATGGTCACTTGCTACTGTCTGTAAGTAGTACTACTTCTGTCATTAAATCTTTCTATATAGGTCAGCTCTTTCATTGCATGTATTTATAATTATCCTCACTATATTATGCAGATTGAAGATCGCCAAATTGAAGAAAAGACAAATCGGTGATATTGGGTTCATTAACACAAATCTCATAGATGCAACTGAGGTTAAATATCGTGCCGAAGATACCGAGGCCAACTTGCTACGATCGTTGGTAACAAATGAAAACAAAGCTATAATACTTTTTTCTTACAACTTCAAGTGAGTGTTACTGTCTTGTGCATATATATGTATTGACCCCCTTCTTCAAATTAGATCTTTCGGATGCGGGATGAACTCCTAGCACCAGATCATATGCGAGCAATTCAAGAGGAATTGGCGGCATTCTTCCTTGACCATGTGATCGCTGAAGACGGAGAATACTATGTGGATCATGTGTTCGTATATAATTAGGAGATTATATTGTAAGAGATAATTATTGTATATATGTAGCCACTAGTGTCAGATAGATATACGAGAACTTGTTGTTCGACCAATCTCTCGGAGAGGGAGAGGTGGTCGATATCACTTCTCTCTGTATGCATATATGTTCATGACGATCTTCTGTTTCCTTTGTTTGCTTACTAGCTAGCTAGCGTGTCTAGTCCTCTCTATACGTATATAGTATGTAGCGTCGACCAAGCACGGACATAAGAGAGGACACTTCTATCTATTAATTAGCTATAGCTAACACAATATATAAAACACCTAAATTAACCTCCCCCCCCCCCTAAAAAAACAAAAACCTCAGCCCCTAAAATGCTGACGCGTGGATGTCTATTGGTCCCGGTTAACCGGGACCAAAGGCCATCCTGCCTGGGTTCGGCGCACCGGCCACGTGGAGGCCCATCTGTCCCGGTTCCTGTTTGAATCGGGACTAAAGGGCCAGTGCATTAGTAACGATCCTTTAGTCCCGATTCAAAAATCAAGACAAAAGGCCCTTACCAATCGGGACAGAAGACCCTTTTTCTACTAGTGGAATGGGATCGACGGTAAGATGTTGCCGTCTTCGAGGCAGTACACGTGCTTGGCCTCATCATCGCCGCTCGGGTCAAGGATAAGCCACGGAAGGAGTGGCGGGAGCGTCGACCACGAGGTGCACACGGCAGCGAAGCGGGCGGAGTCAACCGTGCCGGGCAGCCTGCCCTGGACCAGGCGGAGGAGGTCGTCGGGGAGCATGGACCACCGCTCCGCCGCCGCCATCGCCGAGGTCTCTTGGATACCGGCATCGTCACCGGCGGCTGTCTGCGTCGTTTCCTCCATCCGTGTTCCAGCTAGGCTTCTTGATCCGATTGTAGATCGATAGGTTGTGCGTAGTTGATGAGATACTCGCCACCACGCATAGGTCGCGACGAGCAGGCCAGTAAAGGCCGGAGCTATTTTATTTGTTTGATGCCACGCAGGAATCGAATCGGACTTTGATATTGTATACTACTCGGACACCATATTAAAGAAGAAAAAGTAACCTTCCTGTACGTATACAAAACAATAATTCTACACTTACACACAACATGACACGGAAATCACCTACGGACTCTTCTCCACCAATCTCTTCCCACCCCTGATTTTCAGTGCGGGTCCCATCCCCTCCTGCTTTCCAACCAATGTTTCACAGCTCAGCCCGTAACAATATTCAGTAGGAATCAGGGTGTAAGTGTAGCATTTCTCTATACAAAACATACTCGGATGATGATGGAGGTGCTTGCCCGTATGGGCGGCAGGTGCTTACCCGTGGGGCGGCCCGGCGGCGTTGGTGGCTGGTGGTGCCCGCCCAGCCCAGATCTGAGCCAATTTGGGCCCCATCTGGGTTGGGGTGGGCCGGTGGCTCGATGCTCGGTGGCGTCGTTTCCTGGTGGTGGCATGTTGGCGGCGGTCTCGGGCGGTGAGGACTTCGTCAGTCGGCGAGTTGCAGCATGGCGATAGGACTGCCCTGGTCCAAGTGGGCCTGGCCGGGCCATCGGGGCTCGGCAAGTCCTCGTCGCCGCGTCCGGTCGGCTCCGCTGCGGCGGTGGAGGCTATCCCCTCCCCCCGATTGAGTTGTGGTCGCTCCCGTGGCCGGGGTCTCCTTGCCCGCTCCGGGCCTCGTGGCAGCTCCAGTGAGGCGGCGAGGGTTGTCCAGTAACCGTGGTGGCACAAGCTAGTGGGCGGCTGTTGGGGTGGTGCACCTCGAAGTGCCTGGGGTGATGGTGGTGGTTATGGATTGGGAGAAATTCATGTCGGCTTGTCTGGCACCGACGCGGTGACGCTTGCGGGCGCCATCGAGCCCTCCTGAGGGGCATTGGATATATCCCTTCCCCACCATCCCTCGCGTACCGGGGGAAACCCTAGAACTTGTTCGGGCAACAGTGGCGGCGTCATCGTCACATTCCTTTTTGAAGGTGTTGCTTGGTGTGTGGCGCTTCGAGATGCTGGGAGCGCGGTGGTACTTCGTCGGAGGGTGCAGCAGTTGCCGGTCTTCCTTTCTTCGTTGATCTGCCAGTGTCGGCATTTATTTCTCGTTCATTTTCTCGTCGTTTCATTTGGGCTTATCTGTGCCGCGGCCCCAACGAGCTGAATGTATCGGATGTTTACTTTATAATATAAAACGGGGGAAACTCTTTATCAGATGGGCAGCAGGTCCCTATGATGAGAAGGACGCTGGAGGTGTGGCGCTGTTGATCTGAGGAAGTAACATATTGCTATTTTTAGGGAACTGTTTCTTGAGGGAAAGTAACATAAAACTTAGTTATTGAACTATCCATCCAAATTGTCGGTACTGTTTATTTATCTATGGTAGGCTATGTTTTAGGGGGACACAACCCGTGGGCCGGCGGATAAAATCTATAGTTCGACCGCCTCCCTCACTATTGGATGAAGCTACGGATTGCCATATGATCAACCAACGTGACAAGTCATCTTGGCAACAAATGTGGCATTATAGCTGTATTGTTTGCAACAGAAATTTTGTTGCAGAAATTTTTCACGGCAGCAGTCTTGTTGCAGAATTTTTGTATGAGGTTTTTTTTGGCGAGGCTGCAACAGGGCTCTTTTGCAACAAGATCATTGTTGCAATTGAAACAAGCCCTTTGTTGCAAAACAAAGCAGCTCTGCTCGCGTCCATGTCCACTGTCAGGATAGTCTTCTCTAGTGACGACACTGCCCTCCGCCGCCTTGCCTGCGTCGACTCCGGTGC